AAGATAAACTAGAAAATAATAACAAACAAATACCTTTTTAAAAACCCACTTATTTGAAATGTGTTTTTCTAATTAAAGCTAAAAGGTTGAATACTCTGATTAAAGAGAATTCAAAAATGTAATTTCAAACTTATTTAGAAATTAAAACATAGATCACTATATATGAAAATATATTAAATATAGCCAGGTATTAGATGTACTCAGAAGAAAATTCACAGCCCTAAGCATTTTTTATTAGAGGGAAGAATGAAAATTAATAAATTAAGCAATCAAGGGGAAATTTAAAAAAAAATCCTACCACAAAATAAAAGAGATCAAAAGAATATTATAAAAACAAATATGAATAAATTATAAAATAAAAACAGAAGAATTGATAAATGCATCCAAGAACTAATTTATAGGCACAAGCCTCACCAATCCAGTTATTGTAATAAAGGAGATGGAGGTGAGAAGTAGGGACAAGCCTTGAAATCAAGCCAAGGGAAAAAAATCATTAAAAAACCAACATTCAAAACTTTCTACAACAAAGACACCAGACAGTAAAGGGGAAAGAGCTGGGAGAAGAGATTTGCAATATATAACTTAAAGGGTTAGTATCAAAAATACAAAAATAATTTTTACAAATAATTAGGAAAAGACAGCCCGTGGAAGAATGGACAAACGATGTGAACAGGGAATGCACAGAAGATGAAATATAAATGGCCAGTAAATATTGAAAGGAAGCAGAACCCTTTTCGGTGTTCAGGAAAATAAAAAAATTAAAACCATAATGAAATGATAACCTTTCTCCCATCAGACTGGCAAAAGGAAAACACTAACTATATGAATACCTGTATTACAAAGGTCTGATGAAATCTAATCTCTCAGAAGGGAAATGTGGCAATGGTTATCAAAAATTAAAATGTGCACACACAGCCATTTACACTGAAAATGCACTTTCTAGAATGGGCCCTTGAGAAATCCTCATACTTACTATGCAGAAAAGCTTAGCAAGGATTTTTCGCAGCACTGTTATTTCTAGTTAGCAAATAAGAAACAACTTAAATCTATTACTAGGGAAGAGAATACTACTCAGCTGGAAAAACAGCAAATGAATGAATGAATAAATGAATGAATGAAGCAACAGAGGGGAAAGAGTAGGGAGAAGAGATTCAAATAAGTAAACAGCTACATGTAATCAGCTAATTGTATGTGAATAAGAATATTGTTATATTTTTTATAGAAAAAAATACAAAAATATAATAATTTAAATGATGATTCATATATATGCAAATACATAGGAAAAAAGCCCAAAAGTCCATGACTTTCTAAGTTTACTTTTAAGAGCAGATTTGGGATTGAGAGTTGTCAGAGGAACTACTAGTTCTTTTTGTATTGTTTGAATTCTGAGCTGAGAGAACATATTCATGTATTACTTGCATAACTTTTAAAATAGTCTTTAAAAAAATTCTTGGTGGTAATTTTGAATTCCAAGAACATATTCATGCATTACTTGTATAATTTTATAAAATATACAAAGAAAAAAACTTTTAAATCCTGAGGCTATTTCTGGACTCCAAAGAGAAAGAGAAAAAAGACCAAAGGATTCCCAGGGGCGGAGAAATGTTTACCTATAAAAAAAATAGATAATCAGGCCAGCTATTGTTCCTGTTTAAGAGGGGGAAAAGACATTTCCAGATATGCAAGAATTCACTAAGTATATTGCCCACACACAGTGAATATCACTCAGAGGTACTTTAGCCAAACAAAGAACACACACACACACACACACACACGAAATGCCTAAGTAATTGTGACATTTACTATGCCTGCTAGGTAGCTTTGGTAAGCTAAGCTTTCCTAGGACTGTGTCCATTTCTTCTAAATATTCCAAATTATTGCTCCAGATTGTTCAATGCATTCTGGTCTTTTAAAGTTCTATTGTATCTATAGTTATTGTACTTTTTACTCCTAATATTATTTATTTACACCTTCTGTCTTTTTTTTTTCTTGCTCACTGTTACAGAAATGTCTACTTAATTAGTCCTCCATTAAAATAAATAAAATTATAAAGCCAGGAATTTACTGTCAATATCAGAAAAACATATGCACAAGATTATCCATTCTCATATTATTCATATTGGCAAAATACTGAAAACAACCTAAACATCCACATGTAGAAAATTAGCTGAATATATTATGGTACTTCTACATAGTAGACAGCTATGCAGCTATTAAAAATAAAAAAGTGAGGAAGATCTCTATAAACTGATTTACCATAATTTTCAGGATGTTGTTAAGAAGAAGAAAAAGAAAAAACCACTGGAGAAAAGAGTTATATAATTTACTTTTACAAAAAGAAATGGAAAAAATAAAATATTTGTTTCCAGAGGATGGGTGAGAAGGAGGTAGGAGGAATAGAGAGGAGAATGAAACTTTTATTATGAGTTTTGATATAGCTTTGACTTTTGAGCCATGTTGATATTTTATATATTTCCAAAAATAAATCATTAAGAATGGGAAACAACTGAAAGTTAATAATAGAAATGAATAAACTTAATTGTATATAAAATAAATAGCATAAACACAACAGAAGAAAAAATTGAAACAACTTTTAAACATGGTTCTCTGATATACTCTCAGTTGGATATATTCAATGGACAAAAAGAACTTCAAAGAAATCTTGGGCAACTGACATAGCAAGAAAGAAAGAAAAGAGAATCAGAATATGTTGCTGTTGGATCCTCATTCAGGGAGTAGGGAGAAATAACTATGGAATGAAAGAGCGGAAGAACTGAGATATTCGATTAGAATTAGAGGTATTAGTATAAACTCACGATTTTTTAAAAATCACACTTCCTAACTCTGTCTGTTCAGATGGCCTAGCAACAACGGCACTCTGGCAACAATGAGCACACCCAGAACCCAGACCTTGGTTTCTAAGCACCATTACCCTCTGAGAGGAACCAGGGCTCTTTGGAGAAATGGATGATTCCAGGACTGGGACACAGAAACTACAAGATGAGTCTGGAATAGCCACCTTTAGTACCATAAAGTATTTAAGTACTCAAAGAATAAGAAGGCAAAGGGGGAGGGGCAAAATGGATAGGGACATCTGTAATACTGACAACAATAAATAAATAAATGAATGAATAAATAAATAAATAAATATTTAAGGCATGTCAAATGAACAAAAGAGTTCCTTTTGGTCAAATTTGGCATTGTTTGTATATCAAAATGAATAAATTATTACCCCTTGGATACAAAAAATACATGACCATATTGATAGTTGTAAGAAGGAGGCAGTAGGGAAATCTCTTATTTATAGGAGGTTACCAACTATTAAACATAGAAGGAATAGTATTTATGAACTACATAGGAAGCTTTGAGACTAGGTCAATATCCTGTTTCCAATCAGGTTTTCACCCAGGGATCTTAACATTTGTTGGCCATTCTTGTCTGTTTCTAGTTTTAAGCTAATATGGAGAAAGCTACTACAACCATTCACGTCTAGATCTTTGGGTGAATGTGTGTTTTCATTTCTCTTAAAGTAAACACCTAAAATTAGGATTGTTGGCTCACATTGTAAGTGTATGTTTAATTTTATAAGAGACTGCAATGCCATTTTACAATCCCCTGCCCCAGTCCTGATTCTAGGATCACACACTGCATTTAGCTCTTATTTCTTTAACCTTTTAGGTATAATTAAAGAGAAATGAGAATATATATATATATATATATATATACACACACACACACACACTGAGTGGCTCAGATTATTATGATCTCTGAATGCATAATAATCTGGCCACTCAGTGTGTGTGTGTGTGTGTGTGTGTGTGTGTATGGCCCAGTGCATGAATTTGTGCATGGAGGGGTCCAGCCAGCTTGGCCAAGGGGAAGGGACATGGGCAGTTGGCTGGCCTGCCTGCTGGTCGAACTCCTGGTGGAGGGGACAATTTGCATATTAGCCTTTTGTTATATAAGACATACACTGAGATACACTGCGTTCAGAGACCATAATAATCTGGCCACTCAGTGTGTGTGTATGATTTGTACAATCATATTCAAAGCAGCACTGTTTGGTTGTGAACTCCAAATTGGAAACAACTCAAATTTTCACCAACAGTAGGATGAATAAAGAAGTTTCAGTATTGTTATAACAATGGAATATTATGCAGCAATGAAAAATAAACTAATACCGCAGAAAGCAATATGGACACATCTCACAAACAACTTTTAGTAAAAAAAAAAAAAACAAAGGTCCCCAAAACGTACATACTGATGATCCCATTCCCATAAAGTGCTTCTGCCCTTCTTCTCGGTATTCAAATGAGAATACCGGTATTCAAATGAGAATACCGTGAAGGAGGGCAGAAGAGTGGCTTCCGGTGGTGTGAGCGGAGTGACGGAGGGCGTTCTGAGATTATATCAGCGGTCGCCAATCGGTCCATGAGGTACGAAAGGTTGGTGACCGCCTCTCTAAATCTTTCTCTAAGTGATATCACTTGGATAAGCTCACTTGATGAAAAATTAGCAAGCTGTGTATACCTTGAGGATGACTGTACCTCTCTGTATATTTGTTTTACTTTTAATGTAAAACATTTTTTAAAGTAAACGTAACCCTGATTCTAAAAGTGAACAGCATGAAGACTGAATCCTTTCTGAGTTCATTTTAAACCTTCGTTTTCAGAAATCATCCTTACTTTCCAACTTCCCAAGATTTGGGGGAAACTTCCCTGTAACTAATGAGCATGTCTTAATGATAATAGGACGGAAAGCGTGCGGGGATGAAGGCCCACACAGGGCTCTGTGTTACACTGGTACACCTTCTACCCAAGAGAAGTTTGACAATAAAACCCAGAGAATAAAAAAGAAATGTATGCTGCATTAGCCAGTTCTTCACTTCCAGGATTTTTGCCTAAATCAACAACTCAGTCAAATCATTATGAGCAATGACATATAATTCTATATTAACATTTTTTTGGAAAAATAGAAAATCCTGTGAAGGTAATACTTACAATTGGCGTCCCAAAAGGAATGTAACCTGGAGAGGAGAGAGAAGAGTCAGGCCTCATACTCCCGCCCACTCTGCCCCTCGGATCTCTCAGTTTACACAGTGGGGCGACTTCCGGGCTTGGTCTTGGCAGTGGCCTCCATGAAGGGGTGCAGGTCCCTTAGGGGAGAGGCACCTCTAGTCCCTAGGCTTTTTCCCAGCTCAGTCCTCCCAGAGCAGAGGCCTCCCCTGTGTCCCCCAGCCTCCCTCCCTCTGTTCCCCTTTATCCAGACAGTTCTCATTCCCCTTCAAAGCCCAGGGGCCCGTTCCTGAAGGCAGGCGAGCACCCCTCCCCACACTGGGTGGTCCTCCCATCATGTCCCTCCTGAGGCACCACACCCCTGCCCCTCACTGCACACACTGCAGTGTGTTCAAAGGCCCTGGCACATCCCTCAGCTTCTTTCTAACACGCATCCTCCTTTCCCGGCATCATGGCCATTTGTAGAAAGGAAATTCCCCACCCACCGGAGAGGTGTCCCTCTAAGTGCCAGAGCTCGTCCATCGCTGGTGCCTGCGAGACCCCCTCACCCGGCAGCACGGAGCTGGTGTGAAGCCCAGCCGGCCCTGGGCACTGTTCATGGCCCCTGGGTCAGGGCAAGGCTCCGCCCACCGTCCCCACTGCTGTCACGGGCAGCTGCCTGTCCCGTCCCCAGCCTCTATGGCAGCTGGTAGCTGGAGAGCAGCCAGCCATGCTCATCTTTCTGAGCTACACGTAAAGCAAAGGTTAGCATCCTCATGCCGAAACCGGTTTGGCTCAGTGGTAGAGCATCGGTCTGTGGACTGAAGGGTCCCGGGTTCGAATCCGGTCAAGGGCATGTATGTTGGTTGCGGGCACATCCCCACTGGGGGATGTGCAGGAGGCGGCTGGCCGATGTTTCTCTCTCATCGATGTTTCTGGCTCTCTATCTCTCTCCCTTCTTCTCTGTAAAAAGTCAATAAAAATATATTAAAAAAAAAAAAAAAAAAAGGTTAGCATCCTCAGGGTGCGTCACTGTGCACGCACATGAGCCAGTGAGTGCCCTCCTACCCGCATTCTCCGGAGAGAAGTCCAAAGTTTGATGGGAGAATTGCAAGAGAAGCCAGGCTCAGGGTGAGAGCCTGCTGTGGCCTCGTGCAGGGACTGGAGAGCACCCACAGCTATAAGGTGCTCCCAGCCTGCGCTTCCTTGGAGTTCCTCATGGCAAGGCAAGGGGTCACCTGGCACTAATTGCCCCGGTTTGCACAAGGATGTCACGTGGCTGTTTATTCTCTCCCCCCTCTGAGGTCAGGCTCCCTGGAGGTGGGGGCCCTGACTGACCTACCCAACTGGGAACACCCACTGGTAGAGCCCCTTCCTCCAGCTGCTGAGGACTTCCGAAGGTGGCACCCAGCAGCCACCCAGCCACCCTGTACCTCGGGTCGTACACCAGGAATCGGGTCTGACCCCGGACAAGACCTGTAGCCCCTTAGCTCCGCAGGCAGGATAACCCGCCAACCCTGTGTGTGCGCTGCTTTCTGGGCTGTCAAGTTCATAACACAGACAGGTCCTTCTAGTGACCTCAGGGCGGGGACTTCCCAGGAGGCGGGCACCTCACAGCTACTCCCCCATGCCCTCTGCCCACTGGTCTGCGCAGAATGGAACTTGCCATCGCTGTGTGCGCAGCAGGGCACATAGGGTGCGGGCTTTCTGACGGGCAGGTTAACAGCAGGTTCAGAGACCAGCGAGTTCCTCTGGGGATTGGCTCCTGAAAGGGCCTGGGGGTTGGGGGGTGGGCAGTGCGTCCACAGGTAGGAGGATGACTCCTGGGAGGCAGGGTTACCCTGGAGGCTGCCAATAAGTGGGTAGCGTATAACCTGGGAGTAACCTGTGGAGGCCCCACTCCACCCCAGCTGCTCAGGTAGAAAAGGCACTTGTTTTGTTTTCAGAAAAGGCACATTTAAAAAAAAAAAAAAAAAAAAAAAAAAAAAAAAAAAGCTCCTTAGGTGATTCTGAAGCGTGGCCAGCGTCTTATACAGTTGAGTCAATGTTAACATGCGGGTGCCAGTGTGGCCATGTGTGTAACACATGTGGGTGTCACAGACTCCCTCCGCTCCCCAGGCCGGCACAGCCGGAGGGTCCTGGAGCTGTGACATGGTAAGAGGCCCTGGCTGGGCGGAAGCAGAGGTCCCAGGGGCTCACCTGACATTCGAAAGGGCATGAAGATCTTCTCGTTGGTGTCCGGGTGTAGGATAGCCTGGCAAGAGCAGGGAGCAGAGCACAGGTGACATGGGGAGAGGGAAGGGGCATAGGGAGAGGAAGGGGAAGAGGTGGGGAAGGACAGCTCCCCAGGAGGACTCAGAGGGCCAGTGGCTGTGTCCTGCCTTCCTGTCAGTCAGTCCTTTCCCACTGTGCGAGGCAAGAGGCAGCAAAAACACAACCCCAAACAGCACATATCCTCTGACTAATGCTCGAAGCTGGTCACAGGGAGGGTGGGACTGTGCCTGCCTCTCAGGCTCCCTAAACGCCTGAGCCTGGCACATAGTAGGCATGGAATAAGGACTGTGGGGAAGGCACTATAGGGAAGGAGCTTAGGGGCCTAGGCTGTAGTGGTCAGCAAACTGCGGTCATGAGCCACGGTTTGCCGCTGTGTTGACTAATAAGTTTGCCAACTACTGGCCTAGGGGAAGGTGAGCTCTAGTCTTCAAAAGCTCAGGCCCTGGATACTTGCTTTGGGAAAAGGCAAGGAACAAGGGGAGTGGAGAGATATGGGCCCACAACCAAAGATCCCTGGGACAGGTGTGGGCAGGGTCCAGGAAGGTCAGGGAGGGAAGGAAAAGAAGCCAAAATTGGATTACCTGCTTGATTTTCTGTGCACTCCAGAGCTGGAAGGAGGGAAGAGAGAGAGTGAGTGAAAAAAATTAAAGCACATACCCCTTAAGGTCTCAAAGTCACATTTCTAACCAAGAGATCTAGCTGCAAAGGGCTTAAAAGGCTCAGGCTGCACTGGTGTCCCCAGGTCTGGCAGCTACTCTGAGGGTGTGGTGTCAGGGACCCCAGAACAGCAGAGCAAGGGGATCTCACACAGATCATTTAAGTGAAGGGTTCTCAACCCTGGCCGCTGTAAGGTTGCTTAAAGAATTCTTCCAGGAAAAAACCAAGATGGCGGCAGAGGTAAACACTAAACTGCAGCCTCGCACAACAATTTCAAAAGTACAACTAAAAGACAAAATGGAGATCATCCTGAACACAGGAAGGCTGGCTGAGTGGAAATTCTACAACTAGAAAGAGAAAAGCACACTGAGACTCATAGGAGCTACTAAAGGCAGAGGTATGAAGGTGCACCCACCGAGAGGCCTGGAAACTGAGTATGCAGCTGTCTTTCTCAAGCAGGAGAGAAACAAAAGCTCCTGAAGGCTCTGAACCCCAGTTCTAGGTGAGACTCTGGGAACCCAGACTCATTCAGGGAGAAACTGGACTATCTGGCAGCAGGTGAAACTCAAGGGTGGCTTTCTCTCAGAGATGCTTGCAGCAATTACCACAAGACACTGAGAACCAGGAGCCTCTTAGGGTAGGGCTGACGGGAAGCCATCACTGTTTGCTTTGCCCTGAGATCCCATCACATGAAGCCATTGATAATTGCTCCGCCCTGAGACTCCACCCCATTCAAGCTGAGCACAAAAGCTTTTGCAAGTCTGTCTCGTAAGGATGTTTCCAGCACAGAAGTTCTCCCAGCATAGACACAGTTGATCCTACAGCCAAATGGCCTGGAGATCAATTCCTCCCAGTAATACCAACAACAATCAAGGCTTAACTACAACAAGACTATGCACATAGCCCACAAAGGAGTGCACCAAGAGTGTCCACCTCAGTACCTGGGGAAGCTAAGCCACATGGCCCTGTAGGACATCTAGCACACAAAGCCACTCTATCAACTCAGGGAAGCAGCCAAAATGCAGAAACAGGTCACAAATGAAAGAAATGGAGGAAAGCAAATGACTGGATATAGAGTTCACAACCATGATTATAAAGTTTTTCAAGAATTTTCTAGAAAAGGCTAATAAATTTAGCAAGACCCTCAAGGATATGAAAAAGGACCAACTAGAAATTAAGCATACACTGACTGAAATAAAAAAGTAATATATAGAGATCTAATAAAAGACTAGATGATCACAAGAATCAAGTCAAAGATTTAAATACAAAGAAGCAAAAAAACACCCAACTGGAAAAGCAAAAAGAATCCAAAAATATGAAGATAGTGTAAGGAGTCTCTAGGACAACTTCAAGCATACCAACATCTGAATTATGGGGGTGCCAGAAGAAGAGAGAGAGCAAGATACTGAAAACCTATTTGAAGAAATAATGACAGAAAACTTGCCCCACCTAGTGAAAGAAATAGACTTATAAGTCCAGGAAGCACAGAGAACCCCAAACAAAAAGAATCCAAAGAGGACCACACCAAGACACATCATAATTAAAATGCCAAGAGCAAAAGACAAAGAGAAAATATTAAAAGCAGCAAGAGAAAAACAGTTAGTTACCTACAAGGGAGCACCCATACAATTGTCAGCTGATTTCTCAACAGGAACTATGCAGGCCAGATGGGAGTGGCAAGAAATATTTAAAGTGATGGATAGCAAGAAACTACAACCAAGATTACTCTACCCAGCAAAGCTATCATTTAGAATTGAAGGTCAGATAAAGAGCCTCACAGATAGAGACAGAAGAACCACCTGCAGCATTCCAGCAACTCTCCCAACTCGTGCCACCCATTTAGATACAATGTTAACAATTTATGTTTATGTTATATATATGTATAATTTACTGTAATTTTTATATTTAGTAACATAGATTGTATTGTAGAGAACCTTTAATGAAATACTACTAAACATAACATTAATTTAAAAAAAAAAAAAAAAAAAGAGCTTCACAGATAATAAAAAGCTAAGGAGTTCAACACTGCCAAACTAATATTATATGAAATGCTGAAATGTATTCTTTAAGAAGAGGAAGAAGAAAAAACAAGGTAAAGATAAAAATTATGAACAACAAATACGTATCTATCAACAAGTAAACCTAAAAATCAAGTGAATAAAAAAATCTGATGAGCAGAATAAACTGGTGAATATAATAGAATCAGGGGCATAGAAGGGAGTGGACTGACAATTCTCAGGGGAAATGGGTGTGGGGTGTGCAGGAAGAGACTGGACAAAAATTGTTCACCTATGGATGAGGACAGTGTGGGGCTAAGGGCAGAGGGTGGGGTGGGAACCAGGTGAAGGGGAGCTATGGAAGGAAAAATGAGGAACAATTATAATAATCTGAACAATAAAGATTTTTTTTTTTTAAAGAATTCTTCCAGCATTTTTCTAAAGCTAGGAGGGTCAGGTAAAAAGCCTGATTTAAATGAAGATTCTTCAACTGTCTCCCAGAATCAGTAGAGGCAGCCTAACATGATTTTTTCAGAGCGTGGCAGACCGCCTGGATTCCCCACTTTGCCATTTCCACCTCTGAGCCCCAATGTCCTCTTCTGTAAAATGGGAATGAATAATAGCTGTGCCTCTAACATGATTGAAAAAAAACATATGCAAAGTTCTTGGAGCAACACTGGGCACGCAGTGAGTGCTTTTTAACTGCTTACTGTCGTAGCTATTATTATTCCTATTGTTGTTAGTATGAGAAGGTTTTAAGGAGAAGAAAGTTGCTTTCAAACGAGTGGAAAAATTGAAGAATTCTTCCAGCACCAGCATGTGGCACAGGCTGGAGAAACAGAACAATCTGTCAATTCCTTCAAATGAGATAAATACTGCCTTTCATTGAATCTAAGACATCGTTAATCCGAAGACATTATGATGTGCCGCTGAGTAAGAAAACAATGACATAATGCCAAGACCACCATCACTGAAAAGACTCATCCCGTTTAAGAGACGTTAAAATGTGACAAAATAGGCCTTCTAGAAGCAAGCAAACCTGGTAAATAAACATTTACATTGGCAAACCCAGGGCCCGTGCACTTTTGATGGAGCAGAAAGGGGAGGAGGCGAGAGGTAAGACGTGGCCAGGAGTGCTGGTGTTTAGTTTCGTAACAGAACAGTTCACTTATGCTTCCTTCACATGGCCATGCTGTTGCCTGGGACATAAATTAAGTTGCAGAAGGCTACTGGGTGGCAAAAATAGAAGTCATAAAAGTGATATATTAAAGCTTTTATGCATTATACTCCCAGCAGAGTCCCTCGAGCCTTAATTCACAGCCTAATTACTCTTATTTTAGATACATTTCAAACATATTTGATTGTCTGCTATTCCAGGAAGATGGGAGGCAGTAGCGTTTTAAAAAATAATAATTGCAGAACAGAAGGGACTGAAGAGAGGAGAAACCAAATGCAGAATCCGTGTCAGCCAAAGGAGGTAAGGGAGAGCATACAGCAGAGATAAAGAAAAAGAAAAAAAAAGATAGAAGGCTGACCCTCCTCTGCCGAGAAAGTGCCTTCCTGAAGGGTACCCCCACGTCCCAGGACCATTTCCTCTCAGTGCCGTCCTGCATCTCCCACAGCGCCGGCCACACAGAAAATCTAAACCTATTTTAAAATTAAAATTTTATTAAAAAAAAAAAAAAAAAAAACCCTCAAAATTTCTTTGTACAGTTCTTTGAAAAAAAATTCCCCATGATTCTGATGAAGAGCTGGCCTAAGCCATCAGAGGACAGTGTTAGGAGCCGGTGTTCGAACCAGGCCTGCCCTGTGTTCGAATCACTTACTGGAGGGGTGGCCCTGGGCTCACTACATTGCCTCCATGCCTCAGCTTCTCCGTCGGTGAAATGGGCTGCTGTGAAGGTGGAGCAGAGGCTTGAAGCTCCTGGGCAGGTTGAGCCTCAGGTTAGGCACACCGCTAAGCCGATACGTCCCAGCTTCCCCCACAGTCCGGTGGGCCCCTTGTGTGACCTGGTGCTGGCTAAATGGCCTGTGATGTTTGCCACGTCCAGGTCTGGCCCCAAAGGCTCCCACAGAGAATCCAGGGGAGCAAGATGAGGCCCTAGAAGATGACAAAATCATGAAGGGAAAGGAGCTGGGTCCCTGGACAATGTCATGTGCCAAGTCCCTGAGCTGAGCTGGACTCTGTCATGAGTGAGCAATGGGCCGTACTGTATAAGCCCCTGAACTCTGGGGCCTGTTTGTTACAGCACTTGGTTTGCCCTGACTCACACAGAGGTTTAAATGAGATACGCATATCTAAACTGCTTGGCCCATAGGACATGCTCCATCAATGCCTAAAATAGAGGGACAGCCATTCAAATGAGCAACATTTTTAATATATTTTATTGATTTTTTTACAGAGAGGAAGGGAGAGAGATAGAGAGTTAGAAACATAGATGAGAGAGAGTCATCGATCAGCTGCCTCTTGCACGCTCCCTTCTGGGGATGTGCTAGCAACCAAGGTACATGCCCTTGACCAGAATCCAACCCCAGACCCTTTAGTCTGCAGGCTGACGCTCTATCCACTGAGCCAAACCGGTTTCGGCCAAAAGAGCACATTTTTAATGACTTAATTCGTTTTAAAGTCACTTCGTGTCTATTGTCTTAACATTCCTACAACATGCCTGTGAGGTAGGTAGGTTCTTTTCAGACAAGGTAACTCATCTCAGAGACTAAGTGACTCAGCCCCGGGTTCCTGGTGGCAGGATGGACGAGGGCACCCGGGCCTCCTGGCCTCCAGACCGGTGTCCTCCCGCTCTGCAGGGCCCCTGGAGGAGGTGATGCCTGGTCTGGCCAGCCTGACTGCCAGGCCCGAGGCCCGAGAGGAGGAAGAGGACCAGCTGACATCATGCTGAGAGCTCAGATCCTCCTGGCAGCCCGGCAGCGGAAATCCTCCCGCCAAAGCCCAGCCA